GATATGGATTTTTTTTCCATGTGGTTTTCACTGGCTGAAGTTTCAAAGAATCACTGAAAATTACAGTTTATGGTTTTGGTAGATGTAAGGATACTAATTGATTCTATATAATGCCACTAAAACACATTATTTACCCTGAGCCTCTTTCTTTAATCTAGTCCTGTAGCATTAAGGCTTAAGACTTTTTGCTGGCTTAAGTTCTCCCAGTGGACATGCTCTAAATACCTTACCTTTTGTTGCATGAAAAAAACATAATAACATGGGTTATTGCAATTTGGCAGTTTTATACCAAATGATAAAGCTGCAGACACTGAAGAGGGGAAGGAGGGGGAGGTACATGTCAGGTACTTGTAGCTTTACATCTCCATGAGAAGGAAATAATTTAGCCCCACTGAAAAGGCTCTGGCTCTGCAGCCAGCATGGCGTGTGCTGGGGAGCTAGGGGGCGGACACCTGGGCCAGTGCGTGTAAAGATGAAAGGCAGAGAGCTCTGCAAAGGGGGAGCTGACTGGCTTGGGGATACTTGTTTCATGGTGGACCAGGCTTTGCTAGGGAAAGTGCTGGGTGAGAAAACTAACTGGGAGGCATGCAGGAGAGATGTGTGCAAGGCTCCGAGCTGGACTCTTATTTCCCTTTGTTCTTCTGTGCCCTCTGGTGGATCTGGGAGCGATGGTATTGGTACATCTCTCAACTTAAGTTGTTCTTACCCTGGATCTGAAATGCAGGGAATGCTGTGAATAGCTCCACTTGAGCAAGGACTTTCTGCTGTGATTCACGTCCCTCCCAGTTACTATGGGATATCATAATAGTCTCCTGTGGGTACCAGAAGAATACGTGCTTTCCAGCTCCAGGAGCTCTGGAGGGATTAACCGGGATGCAAGTCAAAGCCTCAGTCTTCAGGTACAATTAACCCGCTAATGAAGCTAGCAGATTTCCTAAGGCTCTGCCAAAAATCCTGTTTTACAAACCAAGGGTTTTTTTCCCAGTAAGAAGCATTAAGATTAGAAAGGACCAGCAGGCCTGTCCCTTGGCATTTGAGGTTAGTTTCTGGTTGCAGACACTATATTGTACTTTGGGCACAGATCTTAGTTCAGTCACAAAGGGTTAAAATAATCCCCGAGGTAGCTTTATCCTCTTAATGAACGGGCTTGATAATCATTCTTACAGAAAGGACACTTTGTCTTTCCTCTGCTGTGGCAGAGTTGCACCTTTTCCTGCCGGTGGTGCACTGGGGAAGAGACAGCAGCCTAGCAAACACGGGTGTAATTTTCACCTCTGATTCACACTGCCGGCACATTTTTCATATTCTACCGCATGCTGCATGTTGCTTTGCTTATGGACCACCTCTTGCTTCCACTGCTCCTAATACCAATGCTAAATCCACGTCAGGGGGAGGGATGGGCTCTTCTGAAGGCTGGAGTCTGGTAGCCTGGATAATGCTGCAGTCTGAAGCTGTTCCAGGCCAAGGCAGGTGAAGGCAGTGCTTCACCTTTTTAGAAATGGGAAACGGCAACTGTTGGAATCCAGAGGAGATTAATTATTAGAATCCCAGAATTTCCCATTTACTGTTCCCTCTCTGGCAAATAGTTACAATAGTCTACATGTGAAGCAAAGTGTGGGTGCAAATTCTGCAGGGGAGATTGATGAGAGCTTTGCTGAATGAGTTTGGAGTTGGAGCCTGTCACTCCTGAAGTCTCTCTTTGGGGTGGACTTGGTGAAGCTGTGATTTGTGAAACTATTTGCTGATGAAGGGAAGGTGCCTGGGGAGCTTTCATTCATGAAGTGCAGTTCTCTTTCTGACTAGAGGACAAGGTTTGACTCCCTGTTGCTCTTAAAATATTTTTGTGGAGAAGCCCAGAAAAGAGAGGAGCAAATCTCCATACCAAGCCAACTTGTACAGGGTGGGCAGTGGGAGGCAGGGCCTCTGCACAAGTCATTTTTCCTCCAGGTGTTTGTTTCTGTGTAAAAAATTATATTCAGTGTATAGAAATGTTGTAGGATTTAGTCTGTTAAAACCTTTACAGCATCTTGGTCACTAGGCCTCTAAATAAAGGGAAGAGATATTATATATGAGATATTATATATGCTATTCCTCCTCTTAATTTTATTATGGATTTTACTAATATGTGGGCTAGAGGAACTTGATTTTTTTTTTAAGGTTTCAAATGAAGCATAGTTCTAAAGTAGCTCTTCCTGATTGATTTGATTTTCCAGCTTACATCTCTGCAACTGATTCTTCCCTCTCCTTCTTGCTTTTGCCTGTTCCTCTTGTCAAAGATGGCGCTAGCCTGTTTCTTAGTTACTGTCTTTGTGATCCTTTGGGGATTCACTTGTGCTTGATGAGTAAGCAGCAGTAGAGGAGGAAGACATTTCTTCTTTAGGCTGTAAAATCCCTTCCAGTGAACCCTAGCATCACCACTTTGCCTCTGAGTCACATCTGCTGCAGGAGAGGAAACGCCTCTTAATCCTGCATCGTCCAGGCATTGCCCAGTCAAGACTTATACTGGAAAAAAAATCCCGGTAAGCCAAGGATGAGGTGATACATGGTGCACTGAAGCCATGTGGGCAGTAAGAGATGCTCGTTGCCAGCTAGGGATGCTGGTATATGTTAGTCCATGTGCAGCAAGTGATGAGCTGAAGTGAGAAATATGGTCCATACCAGGGCAAGAGGATACCAGGGTCGCTGAGATCCTGCTGGGACTTGGTGCACCGCATCAGGCTTGATTGAGCGGGGTCCCTTCTTAGAGGACAGGGTGAGAGTGTGGCAAGAGGATATCTAGGAAATGGTTAACAGAAATGGTACATCAAGTAAAATGCGTGTCAGAGATGTTCAGAAATTCTGCCTGACCTAAGACCTCTCAGCCTGTCGCCACTTTTTGGAGCCTCTCTGTGCTTCTTTCCCTTGTCCTTTACCTGTCTCCCCTTCTGGATGATACTTTTTAACCTTCTTCTAGGGGTAGGAAATAAAAGAAAGAGCTGAATCTTTTCAAGAAAGAAGAGATAAAGTTGGCAGTAAGCCAGAACCACTAGGAAGTGGGCAGCGAGCACAAGGCTGTTAACCTGTAATTATACATCTCAAATTTTGTGAGCGGTACTCCAGGAATCATTATGTACGGGGTTGTTTGATAGTACTGTGGTTTAAGAGAAAAACATCCCCTCAAATTACTCTTACATTTGGAAGTCAAGAGACTATCAATTCAAATCTTAGCTCTTCTGCCTGTAATTGATAATCGTGTACATTTAACAAACCTGCTATTGAACTGGGCCTCGTATTTTTAATTCATGAGGTAACTGCTGTTTTTTCTTTCAGAAAGGATAATTAAGAGGCTGTACAAGGTCAATTCCAGCAAAGCTGAGATCAAACCTAGACTGTAATATGGCAGATCCCAGAGTCTGCCATGCAGTCCTTCAAGTATAATTTTTCGGTATCTGCGTACTTAACCCCTCTGGGCTGTAGCCACAGCTTTAATCCTCAGGCACTGGAAGCCAGAAATCAGCCTGGCTTGTATCCAGGGGCTGTTTAACAGGACTTCACCTCAGTTGCTCACCTATTGAGTTGAAAAAAGACCAGTCCCCCTAGACAGTGAAGTTAACAGTTAAAAAAACAACAGCAACAAACCGCAACCCAAAATTAGATTTTATGTATGTTGTTTCAAACATGCAAATACCAACTTTAAGGACTGTCATGCTTTTTCACACATAACTAAACTTTCTCCCCATCCTGCCTCAAGGTGGCAACACTACGTACAGTCCCAAACTCAGACTAAGGATGAAATCCTGTTCACCGGCCTTGCAGTGAAGACTTTGACTGACGGGCCGGTGGGACTATTCCAGATTTACACTGTATAAATTTTTCTTTTTGATTACAAAGCTTTATGGTCTTGAGTTCCTTTCCAGAATCATTATCACATCTGTCACTGTCATTGCTATCAGTGGCTAAGGATGTTTTTAATGGAGTGATGCAATCCAAACTATCATTCTTGCTGAAATACTGCTCCCAAGCACACAATAGGCCAGGTGCTGTAATTATTAATAATTCCCTCTGATGGCATATATCGGCCCTCCATTTTGTTTTAATGCAATTTATTTTGAGTTATTTCTTCGGCAGTGAAAATGGTTTTGGAGTGATTTTTTTTGGAAGCGTTGCGAGTCTGTTTGCTGGAATCCTTCTCTCCTGGAAATGAGGCATGTCTCTCATGGGCTCCCGTTCGCTCACACACAAATGAACTGCTAATTAGGATGATGAAATTGCTGGGAGAGGTGAAACCTTCCAGTTGGCCAAAGAGAAGATTGTGGATTAATCTGTGTAAAGCTGAAGGCTCGACTAAAACTGCTGTTCAACATTCTGGTGCTAATGAGACTTGTATGTCTGCCACTCGAGAAGCTGAAAGTATGTCCTGTAGTTTTTGTTGAGAGATCCAAAGTGGGGGCTCACTCTTCTGTGGCATTTAGTGCTTTCATCTCCACTGACGATGACTGGAATTGAGAATGCTCAGCAATCTGTATAAGGTGTTCAGCAGTTTATAGCATCCGGTGATGCAAGGCAGTTTGCTCTTTATGGATAATTTTTGTACATGAGTAAAAGCATCTTGAGAGGCATATGGGTGTTTAGAAAATTGCGGAGTATGATTTGGAGAGCTATTTGTCTTCCGTGCCTCCTGCTACCATATTATATCGCGTCTTCATAGTTTTTAATGTACTTCTGCTCATGTCAATTCATGCAAAGGAGGAAACTCTCTACCTTGCTGAAGCAGAGACACCAAGTGACTTGTTCAGTGTCATACTGAGCACAAAGTTCACTTCCAAGATAGTTCTCTGCTCACTGTTAGAGCTGCTCAGGACCCGTGGAAGGACTGATGCTGGTCTCTCATGCCCTTAAGAACAGTTTCCATCCTGTTGTTGAGAATTTATACATATATATAATTATATATATATATTTGTGTATATATGTGTAAATAAAGCAAAGGTAAATGTTTTGAGAGTGCCTCTGTGTGTTTGCAGGAAGCCGACGGATAGTGGACGTGATGGATGTGAACACACAGAGAGGTGTTGAAATGAGCATGTCTCAATTTGTGAGATACTATGAAACACCAGAGGCTCAGCGTGAAAAACTCTACAATGTCATCAGCCTGGAGTTCAGTCACACGAAGCTGGAGAACATTGTCAAGCGCCCCAATGTGGTAAGGGATCCTGTGGTGATGGTGTTTATTTTCAGCTTCTTCCCAGTCATTGGTTGCTTCATAAGAAATAAAACATGGAGTTTAAACACAGTGATGTGAAGTACCTGTAACTCCTGTCCATTTAGTGTTAGGATCTCATTTTTACCCAAGTAGACAGCTGGTCTCCTTGACAGTGGAACTTAATTTACAGGAATCAGGTACCTGATGAGCTCTTATTCATGCAATTTGTACAGATACCCAGTTCCTCTCAAGGTATTTAAGGGAAATTCCATGCAAAATTAAATATGTGTCAATTGTTTTTCCTCCTCTAAGGAGGAGGAAGTTTAAAGCTATTATCAGGAAGCTCAAATTCCTTTTATATGAACCCTCCTATTAACTAAAAAATGTTCAGGGGGCTCCAAAGCAAAAAAGTTGACAACACATGTATTAAATGTAAAAATGTATACATAATTAAATCAGCATAATTACTGCTATGTCAGAATTGGCAGTGTCAGAGAAAGGGAATAGATTTGCACACATTTTTTAAAGGTAGAGGGTTCTTGTGATTTTGTTTCCCAATGGAGTCACCAGCAGTGAAACCGTGACCTTGTTAATAAAGAAGATTTCATTCATCACTAAATGTAGCCAAGTGTGGGCGAGGATTAGAGCATCAATTCAGTAATACACAGGGATGGAGGAAGTGGCATTGGAGGTTTCAGGGTGTCTCCTCAGGACACTGGGCAGAGACTTTGGGCATTGGTCCTGGTTGATTAGGGAACGAAGGGACTTCTCAAAGCAGAATGTGTGCTGCTTGTTCCCTCTGTATCTGCTTGTGGCACTGGATGCTCAAGGCACAGCTGGGTGTGAAGCTATAGCTCTATAATGTTTTGTTTGTAAACCCCTTTTGCCTTCTCATTTCTACATGCTAATCTAGTTATACCAGTAGGTTTTTTTTCTGGGGATGTCTGTTGCCTATGTAGACAATATAACACCACACTTATGCCTGAACAGGTCAGAAATAGATGGCAGCTCTAATTGCTGATTTGTAGAAGTAATTCTTACGTAGGCTTTTGTGTTCTGTTACACACATATCACAAATTGAATATTAAGCACAAATTTAGAAGTTTGTGCAGTTTTTGCTGTCCTTCAGACACTAGTGGGCAGTTTGGAAGTGCTCTGGGGAGTTTCTGGTGTTCAGTTGGTCCTGGTTTTCCCAAGCACATCATGCTTGGTGAGCTTTTAAAACATTTGGGCAAATCTCCTGGGTGCTCAGGACTGAAAAATGCAATTAGGTACCTGTTACCACACATAAATGAATGCTTCGTATCTGTTTGATATGGCCTGAGCGTTCAGTTGCTTGTAAGACCAAGGATATTTAGATCTCACTGAAAGAGAGATTTCCATTTTCGTTAGGTACTTGGAAATAAAAGAGAAGGTGCTGGGGGCTCAGAGAAAGTCCCGTACATAAAGTCAGTTACTAGTTGAATACTATATTTGTACAAGTGGGTCTCTTGAATTCTGCAGAGCTCTCTGAGCCCACGTAAGGCAGAAATCCTTGACTCATGTTCCCTGTTGTGTAAAGACTGTAGGTTGCAGTATCAGGATGTGGGAATTATTTCAGAATCGGGGCAGTAACCACCAATTTTGTTTTCACATACAACTGTGATATTCATGGAATTGGTACTATTTCTACTGGCTGCATTATCTCCCTTTGCCTCTTCTCAAAGTACTGTGTGTTACCAACAGTACCTGATGCAGATGGAGAAATAGATAGGGGCCAGCCCCAATCTGCAAGAATTTCATGTGCTAATTGCCATATTATGAAAATCCCCGGGGGATACAGTTAAGTTGAATCATACAAATAACATTCTTGGGTGGGCCTTTAAAAAGATTTAGCAGTCAGGAAGCTAAGTGGGGTGCTAACCGTGACTGAATTTGACTTCTCCGTTCTTGCCGCACACAGTCAGAGAACAGCTTTGTCACCAAGGCCTAGGATAGGTCTTGCAGTCCTTATTGACCCATGAATGGAGGTTCATTCACGCATCACAATTTTCTGAGCTGGGTCGGGATGTACAGCCACACTGTGGCCAAACGCAGCACTACAGCCTTGTTGGACTTCCCAAATTGACTGGTGTTTTCCCCTGTTTTGAAACCTGGCACATGTGATCCACTTGCATAACCAGAAGGGAGTGTTCTGGATATCTAGCACAGGTTCCATCACAAAACAGACCAAAGAATTAGTCCCAGGCTTGTCCTTGCTATGGCTGTGATGGACAGATTGCAGTTCGTGCCCTGGTGCCCAGCGCAGGAGCTGTGTTTCAATGTCCCTGAACAATCTTCAGTTTCTGTCTCTTTCTCACCTTGCTGGCAATATGTTTCCAACTGCTTAGCTTTTTCCGTTTTCTCCTGCCCACACTTCCTAAAAGTTTGGCTTCTGGACAAGAACTTTGGTGAATTTATACCCAAGTAGAACAATGAAGGAAATGCCCAGTAGGCGATAATGTAATTACTCAAATCAGAATTTGGCCAGAACAATGGTGTCAATGTCCCTTGAAATGTAAGGTATTGGAATAGTATAATCTCTTTTATGTTTGTATTTTAATGTTCTTTAATGCGATTTCTAGGTTATTGGCTGCAAATGTTTGAATACAGACAGCAGGTGATGCTGCAAGAGAAGGTGCTCACAGGTGCCCATAGGCCAGAATTTGCACCCAGTTAAGCTGACTACAAAGCTTTCCTTACTCTGGGTTGCAAAGGGCAGAGTTGTTCTGATGGAAGTGCTGTACTTCAACAAGCTGGGTCCACAGGACTTTGGTTGAACAGCAAGGTTCTTGCTGTCTGTGAGCATCTGCTGGTCTGCTGCTGTTATTGCTAATGAGTTTTAGCCAACAGGAGTATATCCTACCCTGTGTTCAGTAACTAACAGTTGATTTTGGTGGGGCTTTCAGGTGGACTTAGTCGACTGGGTGGATAATATGTGGCCACAGCATTTAAAGGAGAGACAGACGGATGCTACCAATGCTATTTCAGAGATGAAATACCCCAAAGTGAAAAAGCTGCTGCTGTTATTGTTAATGAGTTTTAGCCAACAAGAGTATATCCTACCCTGTGTTCAGTAACTAACAGTTGATTTTGGTGGGGCTTTCAGGTGGACTTAGTCGACTGGGTGGATAATATGTGGCCACAGCATTTAAAGGAGAGACAGACGGATGCTACCAATGCTATTTCAGAGATGAAATACCCCAAAGTGAAAAAGTAAGTTTATGTCTTTAAAAGGCTCTACTCTTGACCTACTTGATTAATTCCTTTTGAACTCCAAAGCTGGTAGGAGAGGAGATAATGATTTATTTATTTTTCAGTGAGCAGGAAGGGGGGTTGCTGTGGCTGACTTGTGTGAGCTGTGTAATACCTACTGATGGACTGTACTAGCTTTTAAGGAGTACAATTTTGTATTTGAGAACATTGTGGATGCTTCATGTTCTTAAAGCCTGTGGTTACAGTCTTTAAGAGAGGAATATTCTGTTCTAAATATTACTATTTAGAAGTTCTCAACATGTTTTATTCTAAATATTTTTAATTGAGAAATAATTCACAGTTTGCTGAATACAATCTTTAATCAAATCCCTTTTAAAAGTACACTTTTATTTTCCTGGTTTGAGCAACTCTGTTTTGAAAATGGCAGACTGACCTTAAATTGTAAATTCTCCAAAGTGCTACCCAAAGAAATCACTTCCCAGACTACAGATACGTCATACAGTTCACACAGTACAGTCAAGGTGCTTCTGTAGGCTGGGTTCATATCCTTCCCAGGTTCTAAACTACTAATGGCTGAAAAGTTACTGGATGAGAGATGTTTTGTGAAATGAACTTGAAGTCCATTTTTAATAGGTGTCAGTGTCCCCAAAAACTCTTCATGCTATTTCACTTTTCTGTTTATTCTTTCAACAGCAAGAACAAGTACTGGGCTGACTATATAGACTGTATTTCTTGTTTCAGAGGACCCGCTCAGGGCAGGTTTGAGACCAAACACAAGAGCAGTTTGTCTTGCTTCTGCTCTAGTTTTTGGGCAAGCTGTGATAGTATTACCTCACCTCCTCGGTTTGAATATCTTCCTTGAAGCTGTTTTTATGTGATGATTGGAAAAAGGAACTACTTTGAGAGCCTGAAAATGTGCACTATAAGTTTCATAATTAGTACAACTGAAGTAGGTGTTACTGTTAATGATATAATAGCTATTGACCTGTATGGCTGGTGAACACCCTATAATCCTGGAAGCACTTCACTGCTGTTTCTGTTTTAGAGGCATTTTCTATTGGCCAGAACTAATGCTGGCAGCATCCCAGGCTCTGCTGTTGAACTGACCTCTAGTGTTTCGCAAATTGCTTAGAACTGTTTCCAAACTGTCTAAAATAGATTGGTTCTAACATATACAAAGGAATGTGCAGTCAGAAAGTCATATGCAGCATTTACTCACATTCTGTAAAAATAAATATTTTGGAAGGTAAATGTCTTCATAATAGAAGAGCCCCTGTGGCAGGTGTCATGGGGAAGCCTGGTCCTACGATACGCTCAGCACCATTGATTTCAGCAGAGGCTAAAGATACTCGTATCATTCTGAAAAGAGTAAGCTGCTTGTTAGGGTAACTAGATACAGATAGGAGTGCCAAATTTCACATATGCATTTGGAAATGTCCTAAGTGACTTGCCTAAGGTCACACAATAAGCCAGTGGCTAGAGCAGAAAATAGAACCCAGGCAACTTGCTTCCCAAGTGGCTAGTCTACTAACTAACATTATTTATAATCTGCTAGAGCTAAGAAACTGAGTCATGATTCAGGACTTCAAGATTCATGGATTGTACAAGGTAAGAAGTAAATAAAAGGATCCCTTTCCTAGAGCAGGCACTATCCAGATGCTGAAAAAATTGTAGCAAGTAAACAAAACAAGGCAGAGATATTTTAAAGGATAAGGTAGCAACATGACTAACAGAAATTAGAAAAAAAAGCAGAGTATATTCTTGCAGTTCACTACTTGCATCATAAAATGCCAGATGGTAGGTTTCAAAGAGGGATTTTAGAGAAGTAGCAATTCAACAGATTTTGACATGGAGCTTTTCCCATGTGTGGGGGATGGCCTGGTAGAAGGGAAGGAGATGCCTGATAAAGAAGCAGACAGAGAGCCATTGAGGTTGCTGTCACTGGCAAAGTGAAGGTGGAGGTTGACAGCTTGATAAACTAGTAGATGTGATAGGTAGAGGGAAGCTAAACAGTGAAAGACTCTAAGCGCTTGACATGTGACAATAGTTTGATGTGGGGAAAAGGAGTTACCATGCATGAGAGTTAAAAGGCAAGGGTGATGCGGATGGAGTGATGAGGATGTTGCTAGTGAGCGTCATTGGGCATAAAGACTAGAGAAGGCTGATTTACAGCACTGCTGGCAACAAAACCCTCATCAGTCTGAAGAAGCAACAAAAATAAAAGCAGTAGCAAACATTGGTAGTCTAGGAACACAAGAGAAGTTGTATTGGATTAGGACAAAGATCCGTGGCATTCAGTAACCTGTCTGCTGTTGGCTGCTGTCATAGATGCCCTGGGAGGAGTGTAAGTAAGAACAGTCTAAGCATAAAATGATGCTGTCCCTTAAAATTCTCTTCTGAACTTCTGCTGTCTGCAGTTTAGGCAGGGGCTGTCCTGAGGTGGAAGTGGTTTCCGTGTGCTTAGTGACTCTCAAGAGATTTGTCTTCCATGAACTTGTCCAGTTAAAATAGGAACCAAGAGATTAGCTTTTTTCATCTCTGGAAATTCAGATTGACCCGTTCCTGTGTAGATACTAGTCCCAGCGATTGCTGTGAGTACCCAAAGGGTACTTAATAAGGGTACCCCTTATTAAAGAGATTGTGTTCAATTGTGGAGCTAAATGTCAGTGCTGTCACTTGTTTTGCGCTGCCCATTCTTTTATGTGAATTGTCAGTACTCATATGCTTTATTAATTACTGTTGTTGCTCAGAAATGGGATTGTTTCATTTCATTCTTGTTCTTAGCATTCTCATAATACTAAGAGTTTGCAGTATGCAATAACCACCATTAACGTGTTCCCTACAAACAAAAAGCACTCCAGCAAAAGCGTTGTGGTTTTGCAGACACAGATGGCATTACCAGACACAAATGTCTGTCTTGGCTCCTGCACGTCAAGTTCCGTGCTGGGAGTGAAGTTAGAGAACGCTCCATCTGCTGCACTGCTTTGGTTACCAGGAGCACTATGCGCGCTGGAGACCGCCCTGGCTTTCACTTGGACTTGCACCATTAACTTTTTTAAAAAATTCTGGGTAATGAGGTTATTTTTCTGTCTGTAAGTAAATGACTACTTACCTAATAGGAATCCTGGAGGACTGAATTAAGCGGGGAAACTATTTATGTCCAAAGTACATAAAACTTTCCAAATACTACCTCTTAAGCAGTAAGACAACATGAGAAATTAAGGGGATGGCTAGCTGAGATTGTAGTGACAAACCTCAAACTGATGTAAGTTGGCACTGCCCCTGAAAAAACCGTCCCATGCCCACATTGTCCCATCCTCATTGCTAGAATACGCCGTTGTGCAGCTGCAGAGTAAACTGGACTGGGGACTGGTCTGGCTGAAAACTGACTTGGAAATAAAGAAGAAAAATTGGTTGATTTTCAGGCCATCCAAACCACCACATGGCTGCATAAATGCTTGCGCCAACCAAAGGACAGTGCAGAAGTGTGAAAAAAAACACAGCGGTGGGATCATCGACAGACCCCTTCTGCAGTTCATGCAAAGTACGGGGCCATGAGGCACTGGGTGAGCAGAGCGAGCAGCTCATTGCTACCGAGGAAGCCTGCTCCTGCTCCTGCCTCCCCTCTTTCACATCCCTGGGTGCCAGTTCCTGCAAAGGGCCTGACAAACATGGGAGCCTGGTTGAAGAGGGCAGCGTGCTGTGTAACCAGGAGCCAGGGCAGGAGGAAAAGGCAAGCGCTGTTGTTACATCAGCTTTTTAGGGGCAGAAGCTTGTTGTATCGCCTCAGATGTCTGTGGTACTGCAAATCCTAAGGGTAGAAAACTGACAAAAGGAAACTGAACTGTGCTCAGAACTGCTTCCTTTCATCACGGTGCACCGTAACCATTTGCAGGTAGCTCAAAACAAGCTCAAATTTAGTTCTCTGTTCAAATTCAACCAGGACTGAAGCAATCCAGATACAGCTGAGCCTGAACCAAAGCAAAAAATTTACTGATTTGATTTCTCATTTATCAAAACAGATAGCCCTGCTGAAATTATTATCTTATCTGTTCATTACGTTTTGTGTTTGTGGCCTTGCGAGACTTTGCGAAACAGTAGCAGTGAAATAGCAAGTGTGCCAGGACATGATGGCTATAGAAATAGTAACAGGCACTTCTAATAACTGGATAGGGTTTGTGCTATGGAACAAATGAAAACGAAAGCCTCAGTCACTACAACACTCTTTTTGCCTTCAAAATTCTTCCTATTACTTAAAATATCTAAGCACTGCTATAATAGGTCTTTATATCGCTGTTATTCTTCGATTAAGCATGGGGTATCTTGTATGAAACATCTACCTGTTCACAGAAGGATCCTGCTCTGTTACCATGTACTCAGCCCTATTTTCCTTCTCCTAGGCTGTTACTCAGCCGTCTGTTCCTTTCTATTCATTCCTTTACTAAGTAGGGATGGATTTAAACAGATGCTAAAATGCTCTGCTGAGCTGTGGTCTAATTAGAAGCTGAGGGTGTGCCTCTGGAGACAGAGATTGCCCTTTGAATTGAGCAAGCTCCTAGGTCCCGCAACACAACCTGGCGCTGTTTTATGCGTGTGAGATACTCATATGCACTTTGTGTGTCATTTGTGAATTGCTTTTGACACAAAACCACTCTATAAATATAATTAAAACCAAGAAAATTAGACCAATAAGCGCAAGTTCTCATTAAAACTTTCCAAGCTAGCAAAGTAAATAAAACTTAATGTCTTCAAGTTAGTGTCTTGGTCTCAAATCCTCCTTTGTGTGGAGCTTGGAGAACTTGCAGTGTCACACGTGTAACTGAAATAAGCACTGGTGTTTAAAATGGCTTGGAGTGAGACTGGAGCTGAACAGCCCTATCATAAGGATGGAGAAACAAGTCGTGTTCTCACTGATACCAAAATGCTGTTCCAGGGGCAGACAGGCCTGGCTCTCTGTGAATTGGCAGCTTGGTTCATTTCCTTGTGGCAGTGGGCACCTTCTCAGAAAGTTAAGCTTCCAATTAAAAAAAAAAAAAACCAAGAAAAAAGAGACCTTTTCATTCTCACAGTTCAAAGGTAACCTTCCCAGCGGTAGCTAACGTACACCGCAGCAACAAGGCTTGCAGGCAGCCTGAGATGGTAGCTGGGTGCCGTTCTGCTGATCCTCGTGCCAAAATCTGGTGGCTGGAAGGTAAATAACGCTTTCCCTGGGAAGTCCCCACTTGTGGCAGCCGGGTGCTCAGGTGTGAGCCCACCCCACGCACTCCTGGGCTTGGTGTTTCACCTTGGATGGGACCGGGGCAAGGCTGGGGCCAGTAAAGCGTCGCCACTTGGAGCGTAATTTGCGGTCGCTTCACAAGATCTCTGGTGCGGACTGAGGTGTGTCGCAGATAATAGGCTTTCTCTTATCTCAGGTGTTCTTTTTGTTTGACTTGACTCAGATCGTAACCCCCTCAGGGCAGGAACCGGGTCGTTGGTGTGCTTTTGAAGTGCCTGGTGCCCGCACCATGTTTAATGATTAGTTACTTGGTCTTGATAGGCGGCGGTTTAGCTTTTACTTCAGCCTGGAAGCGCTGGTTACTACGGCCGGGCTGCCCCGCTCGGGAGCGGGGGAACGGGGCCCGGCGCATTTGTGCCTGCGGGGAAGCTGTGGGGCCGGTGGCGGAGGCCCGGTCCCCGG